CTTAATTATACGGGAAAATTACGGGGTACCTTGATTTCAAATTAATTTTCATTCCAAAAGGGGCTGTTCGAGTGCCAAAACCCGAACAAATCTTTTTCCCATAAAGAATAATGAAAATTTAGATTAGCCCCTTTTCAGCCCCCAAAAATAAAACTTACAAAGCACTTGCAAAATACACTTCATAACTGTTCAGTTGGGGAGTTTTTTTCGACATCAAGGTCCCCAAGTACATATGTACACAACACTATTTTACAACACTATCCTCGGGGATATACTAAATGTCATTTTTCCCTTACAGCATACCTTGAAAAATTTTAATTTGTAAATTAGAAAAATAAGTCTAAAATTTAATTTTTTTTCACTGATGAAATTTTTCACAGTTCTCTTGGGTTTTTAAAGAACTGCCAACTTCCTAATTGTGCTTTGGGGCCTTTTTGAAAAATTAAAGGGTTATCTTGGCCAAAGTAAACCAGGAAAACAAAATTTGGACTGAATCCAGGGATATAGGCCCTCTGAAATTTACTTCGGCCTTCCTGTTCCTACTTAGATTTTTAAAAGCCCCGGTGAAAAAATGTCCTTAAATGTCCAAAAAAACGCTTCGGGTACTGCACAGCACCACACAAAGCCAATGACTATACCCCTGGGTAATGGGAGGTCAGGGGTACCTTGGGATCAAACAGCTCAAAACCGAACAATTATGGGGTATTTATTAAGTCTTTGTAAGTTATTTTTGGGGGTTTGAAAGGTTTTAAATCAATTTCCCACTATTCCTTTGGGAGCAAATTCGTTCGTTCGGCACTGAACACCCCTTTGGAACGAATTTTTTTTGTCCCCCGAGATACCACTGTAATTAGTTTGAGAGTCCAAATTTCCCCTGGAAAATGCCCATTTGAAAAAAAGTCTTCTAACCCTCTTAAAGGGAAGATAGTGTATAATATCTAAATGACCTAAAATCTTCCCTCAGAGCTTGAATTATAGTCAAATTTTTAAGTAACAAGTGCCTCAGTTTTTCCCAAAGGGGGAACCAGGCTGGGCCAACAGGGGAGGGGAAAAGGGGGCACCCCATGTTGGGACCCACTGTTGACACCCCATAAAAGACACCGCTGTTGTTCTTTCTTAGAAAAATGTTTACTAACTTCTACATTGTTTCTTTACTACTTTCCCCCTTTTGCCCATCTGCTTCTTTTTTGATCTTATTTGATCTTGGGGACTTAATAGCTTGAGCAAAAGTCACTCATTTTATGTGCATTAAATATATGGTATTGGTGGGCCCTTAACTTTGGGGAACAGCCAATGTGATTTAAAGAAAATTAATTTAAACTTTTCAAAAACCACCCTCCAAAATTTTTTAATTTCTCTCAAAGGGTAGAAATCTTTTTCTGAAAAACTTTTACAAAAGGGTACAAAATTTGATGGAAAATTATGGAAAACACGATGCAAAGTTAGGGGCAGGTATAATTTATGCTTTGGGGAATTAGCCCACTTTTGGGCCTATTTTCTGCCAAATTCCTTGCTGCATTTTGGCCAAATTCTTACGCCCTTTTGTTCTATTGATAAGCATAAAAAACTTATTCAAATAAAAATTACCATTAAATTTTTTAAAACAAACAGTCTTAATTTTTCCAAATTTTTCACAAATTAAAAAAAAAATCCAATTGAAAAAACTAAACTAGAGAAGTGACATAAACCACACTAAAAATTTCTTCTGTTTAATTGCATCCTAGACCTCTCCCATTTCAAACAGTCATTTAAGCAACCCTTAGTCTCGAAGGTAGGCACTGGTGAGCTTTCTTGGGGCCCATGGGTGACTTATTTTGCAAAAACAGGCACCAAAAAACAGTGATAAATGGATAATATGGAATGTACCGAATGTATCCTTAGATGCTTCCGCACACTGGCTGGCTTGTAAAGACTGGCACACGACGGGGCAGTTTCAGGCCACACATGGACAACGTCTCTACGAACCACAAATCGCATCCCAGGTTTTGTAATCAGGAAGCGAAGGCAAATTTTCTGCGATAAATGCATCGGTACTGGAATTATCGGACAGACCGATAGCATCAACACGAACCTGGGGTCCACTGTATATATATATATGTATATATATATATATATATATATATATATATATAATATATATATATATATATATATATATATATATATATATATATATTATATATATATATATACAGACACATAGACCATAATTTACTTCAAATTATTAAATAAATTTACCTTCAAATCGATTGTTCTTCTCTAGGCTTTGGAATACTGTATTAACACTAACCTGCCCCGCCTTCAAGGTAGGCAAAACTGCTGACCTGGAGAGTGTAACAAAGAACTTTCACAGCACACACATGTATGATGAAGGCAGCTAAATATATTCCTGGAAAGTTTGAAGGCCCTTGATTTGTATTCCCTGGGAATCAGGCGAGAGATATACATGATAATACTATACACTTGAAAATCCTAGAGGACTAGTAACAAACTTGCACATGAAAAAATCACTCCATATGAAAGCAAAAGACTTCGGCAGAAGATGTAACATTCCCCAATGAAAAGCAGGGCAGAGCCATGGCACACTGAGACACAACACAAAAGTGTCCGGGGCCCAAGACTGTTTCAACTGCACCTCCCAGCATACATAAGGGGATTACCAATAGAGCCCCTGGCTGTCTTCCAGGAAGGCCACGTGGACAGGTCACCTAAAGTTAGTAACCTGACAAGTCCTTGCTGTGTTCAATACATCTGTTTGCGTGCGCCACAGTACAACCTGGTTCGAGATTCAGACCCCTTATCCACCACGAGGCCTGGTCTCAGACTGAGCCAATGGGGGCGATGCGCTGACCCTCCCCGAACCCTCTCCAATATACCTCCCAGGTAAGGGAGTGCCTGGATACTGAAAAGGGACTCTTGATTTGAGGAATAGTGACCTGACCTCTTCTTGGATTAACCCTATGCCTCTTATTTTCCCAGGATCCAATGACCCCCCATGGGTTAAGCACCTTCCATGAAAAATAACAATAATAATTCAACCTTTCATATTTCTGATGGATTCAATATTTATTGATACAGAAACACAAAATGTTCCAACGATTTATGTTTACTGAGATCATTATCAATTCACATCTTTATCTTCAAAAATACAATTACAGTATAAAACAGTGTATAAACATACATATAACGTGTATATATATATATATATATATATATATATATATATTTATATATATTTTTTTTGTTTATTTTTTTCAACAAGCGCCGTCTCCCACCGAGCAGGGTGAACCCAAAAAAAAAAAAAAAAAAGAAAGAAAAACCCCAAAAAGAAAATACTTTCATCATCATTCAACACTTTCACCACACTCACACATTATCACTTGCTTTTGCAGAGGTGGCAGCTCAGAATACACAGTTTAGAAAGCATATATGTATAGAGATACACAACATATCCCTCCAAACTGCCAATATCCGCAAACCCCTCCTTTATAGTGCAGGCATTGACTTCCCATTTCCCCAGGACTCAAGTCCGACTATATGAAAATAACCGGTTTCACCCAGAATTCCCTTCACTAAATATTACCCTTCTCAACACTCCAACAGATCGTCAGGTCCCAAGTATCATTCGTCCTCCATTCACTCCTATCTAACACGCTCACGCAAACCGACTTGCTGGAAAGTCCAAGTCCCCTCACCCACAAAACCTCCTTTAACACCCCCTCTTTCCAACCCTTTCGAGGACGACCCCTACCCCTCTTTCCTTCCCCTATAGATTTATATGCTTTCCATGTCATTCTAACTTTGATTCCATTCTCTCTAAATACCAAATACCACCTCAACACCCCCCTCTTCTGCCCTCTGACTAGGGGGGGGGGGGGAGGGGGGCGGGCTTTTATTAACTCCAACACCTTCTCCTAATTTCCACACTCCGAATTTTTCTGCATAATATTTACACCACACATTGCCCTTAGACAGACATCTCCACTGCCTCCAACCGTCTCCTTCGCTGCTGCATTTACCAACCCAAGCTTCAACATCCATATAAGAGTGTTTGGTACTTACTAAACTTACATACATTCCCTCTTTGCCCTCCATAGATAACGTTTTTTGACTCCACATCTACACCTCAAACGCACCACTCACCTTTTTTCCCTCATCAATTCTATGATTAACCTCATCCTTCATAAACCATCCGCCCGACACGTCAACTCCTCCCAAGTATCTGAAAACATTCACTTCTTCCATACCTCCCCCCAATTTGATATCCAATTTTTCTTTTCTAAATCATTTGGAACCCTCAGTCACCTACTCTTCTTTTTTCTATGTTCACTTTCAACTTTCTACCTTTACACACATTCTCAAACTCATCCACTAACCTTTTATATTTTTTTCTTTAGAATCTCCCATAAGCAACAGTATCTCAGCAAAAAGTAACTTGTCAATTCCCATTTTGAATTTGATTCCCCATAATTAATCCCACCCACCCCTCTCCC